CTGCAAAAAATGTCAGTTTTATATTCAAAATTTCCTAAGATATACGTTAATTTATATATTGACGTGTTTTTAAATTTGGCATATTTGTTATAAGCGTAACAAACGTGGTTTACGCACATTGTTAAAATTATTTGAAAGAATGAACACGACGCACTTTTTTTTCCTCTCGTACACAATGAAAGGGAAAGGGAAATATGATAAATTTTAAATATTTCGGTAAGATTCTCGTTAAATTTTACAAAATTTAAATTATAGGCAGAATCGAAATATAGAAAGAAATAATATCATTTAAAAAATTCCGATTTTGTGTCAAAATACCTATGCTAGAACAATTGCTATATATAAACCAAGTATATATTTTAAGTTGCTCTTCAGAGACATCCAAAACGAACGTTAAATTTCATCCATCGGCCCAGTAGAATGGGAGATACAGAACTGTCCCATTTTTTCCTTTTTTTTTTTTTTTTTTTTTTTTTTTGTAAAGAGTGCATATATTCTTGACAAACACAACCATTATAATCTGCTAGCAATACATCAAAATGTTTTTCTTTTAACTATTGCTAAATGATTTAGTACTTATGTGATGGAAGAAAGGTTAAACATAAACAACAGAAGAGTTTATTAAATCCTTATCCCACAATTAAGGATTTACACATACATTACTTTCAACTTACTTAATTAAGTTTGAATAGTTTAAATTAAGTTCAATCGAAATAAAACTGAAAATATTCATAAATAATATTCCAAATTTCTTATTTTATCTCTCAAGCGAAGTACAATATTTTTCAGTAATATAATACTTATGTTATATTCCTATAAAGTTAAGTTCAAGTATTGACACATTTTCTCTTGGCTGCCGTCATAATAAGTCTACTGATTCAGTAGCGTATGCAAATTTAAGTTATTCAAAAGTAGCCTAAATTCTGCGTTATACCAGCTGTAACTTATTCTGATTCCTAACAAGATTAGTAACTGCTAGTGAAAGTGTTCGTTTGAGAGATCGTTCTGCGCTCTTGGCCGGATAGGATTCCGAGATTTTGTATTTAGAGTTAAGTGGAAATTTATAAGAGATATAAAATGCTAGATATCTTCCTGATGGAGCACTGGAAATGTTTAGTAATTTAAATCTGTAGGCAAGCTTAGTTTCAAAGCTTTTACGCTGCACATTATTTGGAATGCAACAAAAAGTACTGGCTAAAACAGCGATAATTCATTATCGCTATTTATTTTTTGCAAATTATTTATTCTTACGTAGAAATCATTTTGCTTAGATGCATAGGCAGCTGCCGCTCAGATTTCTTTTCTCATTCAAGTCTTAGCAACAGCAATGTAATGTTTACTCTTTTATATCAAAACGAATCTTACTTATTTTATACAAACAGGTTTGGTATAAAACGAATATTTGTTTTACATAAATGTTCTCAGCTGAATACTTAACACGAAAATAATAAAGGCTTAAAAATACAAAACGCTATTTTTTGATAACATAATAAAATAAAATGACAGCTGTAAAATAATTAAAACATCATAATTCCCTACATAAGTTTTTTGCTTACATCTATGAAATGGGTCTGTTTTTAACAAAAAAATCAGCTATTGTTAAATATTACGTGAAGTTACAATATCCATTCAAATCTGAACGCATTTATGTACTTGTCTTTAGGATATTAAACCTGAAACTACTAAACGTAGCTTAAAATAACTTGAAATACCTGAAAGTATTTAATTAAACTCTATGCAATTGTTTACACAGCAAACTAAGAATGAACATTCAATCCCGCTGCTATTCTCTGTTTAATTACAATCCTTTTTCATTTTACTCACTGTCAATGGAATTCCGAGTCGTCTGCTGAGTCTGCTTTATTTATCAGAACTGTTTATGGAATAAATATAATTTAAGATTGGGCGCTTTAATTTTTAAAGTGCAGAACTTTGAGCTGCAGTGTTTCATTAGATCAAATAATGTGGTATTGGTTTATAAGCGGGAAAAAAATCTAAATATTTGCCTCAGATAATATGAATTTCGTTTTGTAATGTATTTATTAGAGCATTATTTTTGTAATGTATTTATTAGAGCAGGTATTCCCCCAAAAATGTTGTCATGGATGAGAAAAAAGTTATAATACTGGAACATAAATAATCAGATGATATAAAACGAATTATGATTTTTATTTCTTATTTTTGGAGATATGTATTTAGTCACATTTTATATCCAAGCTGCCAACTAACAATTAACTAAGTAATAGCTATTAGACAATATTCAATATTACGTGAAAGTAAATTTAGAAAATTTTGACTTTGGTTTCAGTGTTTTGTTTACTGTGTTGTACAATTTACAGGAAAATTTATAAGAAATTTATAAGATTTTTTAAATTTTATTGATATACTTATTATTTAAATAATTAATAGATTGATAACTATTAGATGACACTTTTCAAGTTTTTGCACTTTTGTGTTATATGTAGTCCCCGAGTTATAAGTGTGTAGGGTTTATATTTATTTTAACTAACATTTATTTTAAGTTTAAACTCTCTTTCCTGGTCAAGCCTTACTTTCCCCTGGAACTGCCAATGCCAGAGTATGTAAATTTTAGTAGAACGCGCAAGGATTCAAATTATCAGCGGAAGTATTCTGAGTTAAATAGAAAGGAAACGAGTTCGAAGTGTGCTGTTCTTACTTCACGAGCGCGGAGGTAGTTAGCCAGAAATTGAAGAACCACGCGTTTCGGCCTGTGTGCTTGTCTCGGCCGATTGTTAATCGTTCAACGTGATATTCAAAGTTTGCTGAATTAGCAGCGGTATTGTAAAACGCGGTGAGGTTAGTTACGTTTAGAGAACCTCGTAGTTAGAATCTTGTTATTATTTCTTTTCAGGTTCTTATTTTTTGTTTTAACCGCCGGGTCGACGTAGTTTGTGAGCGTCAAGAGCACGCAGTTGTAATTTATAAAGTTGAATAAAAAGGGACTTAAACCTTTCGCAAAACTCTGTCTACTTTCCAGTTTCAGCTGTCACCACTTGGTTGCGTGCAGGTTGGAGGCGCACAACTCTACAAGTGAAATATATTCCTACAAATACTTTCAAGTACGATTTTGAAGTGACAGATGCTTAATGGAAGACATATGCATGATAATAATAAAAATAATAATGATAACAACGTATTCACAGAGTGATTATGATTGATAAAATGCAATAATATTAATGTATTGGAATAATAAATTTTAAAAAATTGTGCTCATTTATTCTAACAAAGAAACAAAAACAAATTCAGGCAAAGAAAGGTAAGAAAAATAATGTATAATTATGTATGTAATATATACTCAAAATATCAACATCAAATTTAAAAATTCCAATAGTCGTCGATTTCATTATAAGTATTCATAATTTATTTGATTTAATAATGTAAAAATGCCAGTAATACGAAGATTCCGGCCTGATATACTTCAATAATAGCTTAAATGTAAACTGCTTATTTTTCGATACGATCTTAGTGTACCTCGATACACCTGTCATATCGTTTAATCAGAAACTCTATGCTTTTGCAAAAGTAATTCCTTAAAATTATTCATAACAATATTTTCAATTGTCATTGAATTTCTTTCTATGAATCTTGCTTCCAAGTGCTGCCAGGCATTTCCTGAAAAGTCCCACACGTGTTCTATGGGATTTAGGTCCAGGGGCCCTACAAATCAATCCATGCATTTAATACCTTCACTCTCCATGAACTCTGCGAAGGCTACTATAAGAAGAGTTGTAACGTTTTCGCCTATGACAATGAAGTTTGCATTCACAGCACCTATAAACAGACGCATATGAGTACATAGAAGTTCAGGCCATTAGTAGACACCAGTGACTAAAACTCCTTGCGAGATTTGGAAGTCAGTAAGACTACCAAGCATGATACCATCCCAAATGAGAACTCGGACACCTCTAAAACGTCCCTTTCGATTATAATGGAGGGATGACTACGCGTTCCCTTCTCTTCAGATGTGTATACATCCATAATCATTCGTCAGTTTAAATTTGCTCTTATCTGTAAACCTCACTCATGTTGTCCAATTCTTGTATTCCCAGCATCACAGCAACCGGTGTCACCAATAAGCAGGCGTTAATAGAATACACATACCAATCATCCTGCATATAGACCAAGTTTGTGCCTCCTGTCTTCTTTAAAACGTGATACCGGACGTTCAGCAGTGTGTTGCAAGTTACATCTATAACATTTAAACCTTTTTACAACTTCCGAATGATGAGACCTCGGACAAAGTCACGCTGATGATATCGCTTCGATTGCGTGTAGGAAATATCAGACGGTAGTAGCAATTCGACGTCACTGAAATCACTGAATTGCTAAGCGTCCACTGCGCGTGTGCGACATCCCTTTCGATACTCCTTCTCCTAAGTCATATGCCATATATGCACATGCCTTGCTGTACAGTTTCCAAACCTATCTCCTGATTCATCTTTCGGTGCGTTCTATTCCCTTGTTAGACTTCTATGCTTACTTCTCTGCCTTGTTCTTAATTTTTAGACACCGGTGTACTTCATAATACACTTTTTAAAGACAAAAAAAACACGACATAAATCAATGCTTCATTAAATTTAAAAAAAAGTCCTTTCAAAACAAAAACAAGATATTTTCTCTTTCTTGTCTCATCTGAAAATAATGATCTAATAAAACTGAACTGAATTCATAGTAATTAATTAGTAAATAAGTAACATATTGAAAGAAAGATGTTGAACAGGAAATGTTTTTTAAATTCTCAAAAGAAAATAATGCTGAAAATAAATTACATATTACAACAGATTATATGGTAAACCACCCGACAAATTTTAGTAAATTAACTATCCTATGGAAACTTAAACATTTATTACTCTGATTTATATCACTACTAACACAATTTATTACTCTAATTTAACACTATTAACAATGAAACATGACTAAAATGACTTAATAAGTTTTCCACATGAAGATAATAAAGTATTAAAAAAATAATTTGCTTACAGAAGAGTAATTTTGAGATTACGCCATATCATTCGTTCTCAGCCATCATTTCAAAATCTGAAATCCTATAAAAAACAAAGATGATTAAGAGAGTTAATTTTCACCCACTACAGATTTTAAATTAAGGGATTAAAATAATCCTTTTTAAAGTAAAAATAAATATTCAGGGAAATATTAAGCTTTAAGATATTGAAAGAAAATGGTTCTTATTCTCTGAGGATACATTAAAAAATAAAAACGACTGCGTTAACGTTCACGTTTCTCAGAATATTCTGTATTTCTAGGTATTGTTATTTTTATATATTAACTTCCTCTTTCTTGAGATGATCAATGATCTTTTTCGCTTCGCGCGCCTGTCCGGAAAGCTGCTATATGTGAAAGAGTTTTTTTTAGAAGGTGAGGAGGGCGTCTGTTGGGATATCCGTCACTTTCTGCTCTGAAAATTTAGTCAGAATATCAGTCAGATCTTTAGTGATATTCTCTTATTACTTTTCTAACAAACATTGCGTTTTCAAACTCCAGGTTTAAAAATTTATTGAAAAGAAGGGTTACAAAAGAAGGGTTTTCAACTTTGACGATCTGGACCTATTTTATAAACGGACAACGAACCTAATAGGACAGGAGACAGGAGACCATAAACAGAGCCAGCTGTACCATCATTACGACTTTCAGCTTTTGTCCTCTATTAATGGAAACTATCTATCATCCGCTATCAGCAACATTTATTTTAAATAAAATTTTACAAAGTTACAATGGTTGTGCAAATATACATATGACATACAGAGACAGATTACTCAGGTCTTTTGGTATTTATATAGATGGCAATATTTACAATAAAGCTCATAACATAAATATTTAGAGAATTGTTACTTAAGTTGAAAATTTATGTTTACAGATTTTTATATATTAATTTTGAAGAATAACCATATTATATAATATAAAATGTCATTATACATTTTAAAGAATTTAGACATATATAATTTAGAAATAATTAAGCCAAATTAAAAAAGAATGAGAAAAACACTAAATATAGATTAAACGTTAAAAAATTTTAGAAAAATGTAAAATGTAGACTAGATATAAATAAAGATATGCTAAAAGTAAATAATAAATGAAAGAATAAAAATATTAACAATCTTATATTTAATAATCTTCTAACTAATAATCTTATAGTTAAGGAATAATATTATAGTTATGAGAAAAGAAATATTATAATTAATAACAAAAAAGGAGTATTATAAATTTATTGAAGAAAAAATATTTAAGGTAAATGTTAAGATAAGGAAGTGAATAGAAAGTAAATTGAAAAGTGAAATTGTTGGTGTATTTAATTATGGCAAAGCACATTAGGGCTATCTGCCTATGGGTGGATGCCTTCGTGGAGGACTTTCTAAGGGAAACTGGCTCGTACACACGTTAAAAAAAAGTGAAAGACTTGGGAAAAATTATTAATATTGAACCACTGTTTTATAAATGTTGAAATATTACAGCTATAAATCTTGATAACTAAAGTACAGAGTTAACAACAACACTAATAATACAAAATTGTAATAAGAAAGACACAAAATGTTGCATCATGTTTTAAAGTTTCTAAAGGTAGAGCGACTAGATATTTTGTGAAAGCGCATGAGGTGATTTCTTGTGTAAGCCTTTGCTCCTTTATGGATCTTAAAATTTCTCATGCACTATAGGGAGCTCATTTTTAACAGCTGTCTGTTGTTTGGAAGTGGAATTAAAAAAACTTGGATAGGAAAGCCCTCATTAATGACTGGTTTAAAAATTCATTCGCTAAAGATGTCAAGCATTATTTAGAACAGCAAAGCCCGATATCTAAAATTCTCTTAATCCTCGATGTTGCTCTAGGACTCAATGCTGAAGCCTTCTCAACATTGATTCCAAATGTAAAAGTTTTATTCGGACCATCTAATACCACTTCCTTAAACCAACCAGTAGGTCAAATGATGATAAAAGCATTCGAAGCCTATTTTATCAGTCATATTTGTACTTCTGTAACTACTGCTGTGCTAACTGCTGAAGTATACTCCTGTATACTGCTGAAGTACTGCTGAAAGAAATGCACGATCCGCTAATGTTATATCGAAAGCAATTCCAGTGATTTAACTTGCATGCGAACAAGCGAATTCATCAACATTGAATTGGCATCAGCTCCAAAAGTTCACAACAATTTTAAAGGATTGCCATACATTAAAAGTGAAATCAGAAAAATCGTATAAATTGCAAACGCATTTGCAGATACAAAAGAAGGAGAAGATAAATAATTACGAGTAATTCAGAATGACGGTCGACAAATGAAGAATTGTTAAATCTTCTAACAGCAGCTGTCAGTGAAAGCAGCGATCGTAAAAAGGATAAAATGCCAATGTAAGGAATTTTCTCACCTCTTTCTGCATGTGCCTTCGTAGTATAATTGGAAGCACGTCTGACTAGCAATCGGAAGGTCCGACGTTCGAATCTTGAAGACGTTATTGCTGACTTTTCATGTTCCTTGCTCCGAAATAATTCAATTGACACTATACCTTTAACATGTGAGAAGTTACACGAATAGTTAAGAAACAGGTGCAGGAACTGCCTCTTGCTGCAGGGGAGACTGACCCAAACGAAAAGAGAGGAGAACAGTTTACGCAAGCATTGAAAAACTCTCCGCTGCTTATCACGGAATCGTTAAAAAATTGCTTCACTCAATATTCCAAGCAAAATTCATCCGCTCTTCCTTTTAAAAAAAATATTGTATCACATGCCTACTAATTAAGCAACGATTAAATCCTTCAACTAACATTTCATTTTTTGACACATACAGATGTTCTTGAGCTGAACTATACCTACCACATTAGTTCCATAGAAAGTAAAATTTTCGAAACATGACTTTGCTGTGCATGGAGTGTATTAATGACGTAACCTCCACGTTTGGCAAAAAATTGTTTAATATATAATATACTATATAATATATATATACGATAATTGAGTGAATTGGCAAATAGCGCAATGGACTGGTAATGGTTCTTTGCACTGTAATAACTTGGAGAGGCTATAATGCGTAGTTCCCTGAGATGCATAGTGAAGAAACTCTAGGAGTCATGGCAGAAAATAACAAGACACGATTTATTTCTCGACACCTAATTTCTTCTTTATACATTCTTTATTACACATCATCTTGGGTGCGAGATGCACCCAATGATTTCGTGTATCTTATATATTTTGAAACTATAACTAAAACATAGCATGAAGCGCACGTTCTCAGCAGCGAGGGAAGGGAGGAAAAAAGGAATGCGCAGTAGTAGCAGGGGTATTTATAATAAAACTTTTTAAAATCTGATTGGCAATAACTTTTCGCATTGCAGCATGGATTAATTTTGATTTATAACAGAAAGGGAATGCAATGGATTAATTTTGATTGACATTATCCAGAAAAATTATTTAATATAAATTTATAACAGAAAGGGAATACAGTCTAATTAAAATGGAGAATTAATGAATGAACTAAAGTTAGTAATTTTGAGCTTCAAACTTCTTTTTGTCTTCCTTGTCGTTGTATGTTTTAGTATATATATAAACGCTAGCTAGTATATATATAAACGCTATTGTATAGTCATTATGCTACGGTAACTTTTATTGTAATGTTCCTCAGCTTAATAACTAGCCGCCAGAAGACAAGCTATGCCGCATTTTACTCGTACAAGCGCTATCTTCGGGAGATTTTATATATAAGCTCTAAAATGCAGCTTAAGCAGTTAACTGCTTAAGATGACTCAAGTCTTAATAGGTACTAAATAATTCACAATATTGTATATGTAAGTTAGATGGTAATAAAATGTTGTTTAAATAAAATACCTTAAAATTGTTCAAATCATTTCGAAATAAATGTTCAAAAAATTTAAGTGTGATAATGGATAGCTGCCTAATTTTAAAAATTTCGAAAACCTTTGAAATGGATTTAATTCATCATAATGCATATACAAGGAAATAAATACTAGGAGTGAAGGATTAAATGATTAAGAGATAATCGAGTACTTATTTAAAAATAAATACAAGTTGATAATCCTGATGTCCCCCCCCCAAGGAGAAGCCAGAAATACTGAAAATGAAGCAGAGTTAATGACCCTATATAACTCGATCAATTGCCAATCCTAAAACCCATTCTATTAGACAAGTAGAAAACGTTTTAAATTTGGTAATGTGATTTGATTTTTAAATGAAGCGGTCATTAAAATATAAAGCTGTTCTGACGTGGAGGGAACTAGGTACATAGTTATTGCTTTAGAATTCAAAATTATTACACAAAACAAATACTGAACATTTAAGGTTCAAAACATAACTTTTCATATTCGTCTGCTTTCTGTTATGTACATACATATATGAAAATTGTTGTGTTTAGTGAAAAACCAGAATCCTTGTATACAGAATATTTTTGCAGGCACAGAAATAGTCGCTTTTTACCATAGTTCCTGCCTTTCGCAGTACACTTAGCCAGCACTAGACAAGTGTATAAGATACCACAGGAAAAAAATTCTTTCTGACTGGTACACAAATACTCATGCACTGACAACCGAAACTCATCACCATCTGAGAACGTCTTTCCATTTAGAAATTTAGTAAACTCCTTCATCTCCAGTGACGATAAATTGCTGAAATATTTTAGTCTCATACCAACAGAGAAGCTCTTATAAAGAATTGGCAAGTCTTTCATTCCAGGGTTTAAGACCTTGCATACTTTTTCATACATTTTGCTAATTTTAAACTCGTTATAAATAACGCGAAGGCCTGATCCAATATAATTTGCTCTAACAATTAACATTCTTAAGAAATGCAATTCTAAATTAAGTTGCAGAAAGGTTTCCTTCATATACAAAGAGGGGAGTTTTAGATAAAGAGCAATGAACCTGCCTATGTATGTGGCATACCCTTCACGCATTATCATAAGTTAAAAACTGGTATAATATACACTAAAATCATAGTTATAGATACAGTATTAACTGTAAAATCTGGCCGTCATAACGACGATCATTGAGTTTGATATCAATAAAATAATAATAATGGTAAACTTTAA